AAATAATAATAATAATAATAAAATTTTTATCAATGTTAATCATATTACACATGAAATATCTGGATAAAGTTTAAATTAATATATTATTTATTAAAATCAATTATTAAATATAAATTTAACTATCACTATATGAATTGTTATATAAATTAATTGATGTAAATAATTAGTATAATTAATTATGAACAATATATAATATTATAAATATAATATATATATTTTAATTAGTATATTAAATATAGTATAAAGTATTTAGCAAATGTACAAAAAATATTATTGATTGTAATTATAGTATAATATATTATTTAATATTTAATTAATAAATATAAGATATAACTAATTAAATTAATTTTCTTGGAAATCAATTTTTTTATTAATAAATTATATTATATTATTTAATATTTATTTTGAAATATAAGATAAAACAATAACTAAATTAATTTTCTTGGAAATTAAATTTTTGTTTTATTAATAAATTATATTATTTCGTGATTAATCTAAAAAACTATAAAAGATATTTTTGTTAAAAATATATTGACATCAAGATTATTGATTATTTTTAGTAATCATTTTATTATAGTAAAATTTATTATAAGTTTACTAATTAAAATACAAAACAAAATAGTAATATTAATTTTTTTTAAAAACTAATAAACACCAAAAATTATTTAATTTAGATTATAACCTAAAACAATAATATTTAAATGTTCAATACTAAATAAATAAATAAATAAAACTTATTATAATATATTTTACTACAAATTTTAATAAAAATAAATATTTTAATAATATTTAAAACAATGATATTACTAGAAAATAATTGATCGATGAATTCATTATGAGTTCATAGACGGCAAACATAGTCAATGGAAATAAATTTAGACAATAGATACCAATTGCCGGACCCGATAATGTTTCAATAAATTCAAGATATTTTAATTTAGCTAGCATACTTATTGTTTTTAATTTTAAATTATTATTACTACTAATAGTAGTAGTATTATTATTATTATTATTATTATTATTATTATTATTATTATTATTATTATTATTATTATTATTATTATTATTATTATTATTATTATTATTATTATTATTATTAYTATTATTACTATTATTACTATTATTACTACTACTACTACTACTACTACTACTACTACTACTACTACTACTACTACTACTACTACTACTACTACTACTACTGCTACTACTGCTGCTGCTGCTGCTGCTGCTGCTACTGCTGCTGCTGCTGCTGCTGCTGCTGCTGCTGCTGCTACTACTGCTGCTGCTGCTGCTGCTGCTGCTGCTGCTGCTGCTGCTGCTGCTGCTGCTGCTGCTGCTGCTGCTGCTGCTGCTGCTGCTGCTGCTGCTGCTGCTGCTGCTGCTGCTGCTACTACTGCTGCTGCTGCTGCTGCTGCTGCTGCTGCTGCTGCTGCTGCTGCTGCTGCTGCTACTGCTGCTGCTACTGCTGCTGCTGCTGCTGCTACTGCTGCTACTACTACTACTACTACTACTACTACTACTACTACTACTACTACTACTACTACTATTATTATCATTAAGGTTAAACATTATCCTATAGATTACCCGATAGGATTTATGCGCACTGGTAGATACGCGACCCAATATATAGGCACAATAAATATAGGATACAACTAGTATTATGGCTACGGTTAGAAAAAACATGCGTAACGGTTGGATAGTTTGCCGATGATAGATCATATAGACCAGGAGCTGACAGGCCATTGGGGTCAGATAGTAGCCGAAGAGTACTATGTATTTCATTGTACCGTTGATTTGCTGGCATATGTTGATCATAAAATTATGTTCGCGTACAGCCATACGCAACAATTGATAGTCACGGTATCGGATGGCCAATCGGATGGACCAATTGATTTTGTCAAACCTATAGCGCAGATAGATTGAGGCAAACATTATGTTGAATACGACTAACGTTACGTATTGGAGTATCTGATTGATAACTACATAAGCTAACAGATTCCATACTAGTAGACTGGCCAACATCAGGGTCAGTAACGTTATAGTTGTGGTACGACCATAGATAAATAGGTGGGTGCCTGTATAGTATATACTCAATAGCAAGTGTACCGTAATCAGCAACCATGGTATATGTTTAACATAGACCGGATGTACCAGGTGCATGTATTGGCCAAGTAGCCTGCTAAATGATTGGCCAAATTTCGTATTACTATCCAAACTATATTTACCATGGCCATTTTTGATCAGGTAGAAAATACGATAGATATTATACTCGCGATACCATTCCTGTATATTGAACATTGTATGTATGAATAGACTGCCCAATATAAGCATAAATATTGTAATGGATAGTATACGCGAATCGATTATGGCGCTACTAATATCAAATAATATAATATTGATAATATAATTACAATTATTATTATTATTATTGGGATAATTATCATTGAATTGTCTATTATTATTATTATAGTTTATAATAGCAATTAAACCAAATCTTAACATAAATATGGCTGTCATTAGTCGATAGCAAACAATACGTACAATACGTTTGCCGATCAATGGTCGACAAAAATAGTAGTCATCGCTATTGGCATATATTGTTACATAATTGTTGCTAAAAAACTGGTCCATCAATTGAAATGTTTGCTTATAATCAGCCAATCTATTAGTTTTATTTAGAAAATACATTATTATTATTTTTAGAAAAAAAATCTAAATTATAACTATAATAAATAAATTAAACTTTGATGAATGAATTTTGTTTTAAGTATATTGTATTATATTATTACTTAATAATTGACTATAGTTTTTATATATTGACTATTTTTTGTAGTCTACATAATATTAATAGTATTGCTTAATTAATTGTAATTAAATGTAAATGTAATTAAATATTAATATCTAAATTCATAATAAAATTATAAGAAATTATATGTAAAAATTTAATTGTTTTTTATTTTCATTATATAAATTTATTTTTATTTATAAATTATTTTATTACGTGATAATAAAGAAAAATTTATTATTATTATTATTACTATAGAAATTAACATAACATTTATAAATTAAACAATTTATGTATTATAATAAAATATACAATTTTCTCATAATTTATGATTATTTTTTTTTATTTTAATAAATATAATTATAATAATATTATTAAATAAATTTAATATCAAAAATAAATTATATAATCTATTATTGATAATCTGCAAAAAAACATCATAACTATTATATATGAACTTATCAATCAATATTTATTATAACTATTTATTGTTAGACTTATTTTTGCAAGAAAATAAATAATAAATATATATATATACATATAAATATAATTTAAATATTTTATAAATATTTTTTTATTATAATATATACAAATATAAATGTATTTTTTATTTTGATATTTATTGAACAAAAATAATGTAATCTCATTGTTATATTTTATTATTTTGAATTAATTTATATTTAATTTTCACAACATATATATAATGTTTAAAATTAATAATACAGTCATATTCATGTATATTAATAGATTATATAATATTTAAATGAATAAAATATGATAATGCAAATATATTCAATATATCAATATAAATGTAATATTTATAACTATCATATTATTTGTGCCATATTTTTTAAGACTAATATTATAATGCGCGCCAAACATAACAAAGCACAACAAAAAAATGAGTATAAATTACGCAAAATAATTTTATTCAATATTAATATTTTCAGTTTTAATGTAATTACATTCAATTTTAACTACTTTTCGTATACAATTTTTCCAAAATTGAGAATCAATTAAATTAAATGAGTTGATTAATAAATTTTTAAAATCTATAGATGTATTAATATTAAGATTATTTGTTGATACTAGCTTCTTCCACTGCGCCCAAATTAATTCAATTGGATTTAGCTAAAAACAAGAGATTAGTGACAGACACCCGATCAACATAGACGACAAAAAATACATACATCACAATTATAAGGTGGTGTCCTAAGCGGTATATGTCCAGCTTTTTTAATTATTTCGTCAACCGCATACTTTCTAACTTTTTTATGCTTTTTAACTATTTTTAATAAATCTTTTTTCTTTGTTTTTTCATTAAATTTAATATTATTGTTAAAAAGCCATTCTTTAATTTGATTTACACGCCAACAAGTTGTAGGAGATTTATTTAAAATTCTTGAATGTATCTTTGCATTATCATAAACTATGACTGATTTTTCTTTAAGATTAGGGATTATTTGTGTTTCTAACCAATTTTCAAATTTTTCACTATTAATTTCTTCATTAACTGTTAAATATAAACCATTATTAACAAATCCATCTTCTCCTCCCGCATGAATGATATTATATCTTTTTCCGGGACCTGAAAATGTAGAGCTTAGTGATGGACACCCGATCAACATAGAAAAAACTTACCAATTTTTAATTTGATTTTATACTTTGCCTTATCGTTAACATTAACATCCAATGGCATAATTATATGAGTTGTTACTATGTTTTGATGAATGTAAGTTTCATCTAAATAAATGATTTGATATTTTTTTTCTAAATTAATTTTTCTTATTAAATATTTTCTTCTTTGTCTTGTTATTGCAGGACATTTAATTTTTTCTTCTCGAACCAAATCAATTGTTTTTTTCTTTTTATAACCTGCTTTTTTCAATAATCGATAATATGTTCTCTTAGAGGCATTTTTGAAAGACAAATTTGATCCAGATTTACTTCTATCAATTATTTGTCTAAATGACGGCAATTTGTTTTCTTTATGAAATTTTTTAATTGTTTTGTCGATAATATTAATATCATTTTGAATAATATTAAATCTTTTATTTCTTGGCCCTCTTTTCTTAGGTGAACCTAAATATCCACTAAAATAAGCTCTGCGTCAATATGGGGGTGAGGGGTATAATTTATTATATATATACCGGTTGATCCATTAAAGGATAGCGATTAAAATACTACAATCAATTTTTAAAAACTAAATATAATTTTATTCAAAGTAATCCCCCTCTGCCTCAATGCACTTGGTCATACGCCTCCTCCACCTTTCAAACGCCTCCTCCCAGTCCTTTTTCTCAATCGACTCTAAATACTCCATTACTGCAGAATCAATCTCTTCTTCTGAAGAAAAGGCTTTACCTCGAAGAAAATGCTTTAAACCACTGAAGAGCCAGAAATCACACATTGCCAGGTCGGGGGAGTAGGGGGGTGGGGTATAACCCGATTTTCGGCCAAAAAGTTTGTTGTCAACCATGCTGTATGAGCAGGTGCATTGTCATGATGCAACAAAATACCATTTTTTGGGCCCTTTTCAAGCACACGTGGAAGACATTGTGTGGTGTACCATAAAGCCGTGACAGTCCTTTGTCCTTCCAATTTGACCGCATCCACCAAACCTGATGAGCTGAAGAATATGGCATAAAGTATTTTGCCAATCGTTTTTTCTTTTCTCACAACACTCGGTGGTTCTTCATCTTCAAACACAAATATCTTTGCTTCCCGTGACAGCTTTGGCTCGTAATAATAAACATACACTTCATCACCTGTTACTATCTTATTGATGGTATTATCTTTGCCTTTCTTCCAGAGCTTTAGATTTTGTTGACATTTTTCCAACCTATCCTTTTTTTGCTCATCACTTAGACGATGGGGTACAAAACGACAAAGTTTCTTCTGTACCTTTAATTGGTCAGCACATATCCTTCTAAGTGTTGTGCCCGGAATGCCTGATTTCTGCTCCAACTCATGGTATGTAACACTTGGATCAGCTCTTATTATATCTTCGACAATCGCTGCATTTTCCGGGGTATTCACCGAAACGGGCCGACCCTGTTTAGGGGTGTCTTCAAGTGACTGCCGTCCTCTTTTAAATTCACGGACCCATTTGGTGACTGTACTAAAACCTACAGTATTATGTCCTAATACTGTGTTGATGCGCTGGTGAATCTCATCCAACTCTTTAGTCTGCATCCATTGATAATAGATGATGGCCCGAATATGGTCAGATTTCAAATCCATTTTGTTGTCCAAAAAAATACTGACACTACTTGTTTAAATGATAATAACTTTTTAACAAATAAACATAAACTGATGAAAACCACAACAAAAACAAATGAAATGTTTACAAATAAGAGTGTATAATCAAATTTTGTCTAACATTCATAAATAACGTTTCGCTATCTTTATATGGCGCAAAGAGTACCTTAAAACTTTATAGATTGATGATCTTGATCTGTTGAATTGGACCATTAATTGTTGAACTATTTGTTCATTTTTCAAATTTGTTTGAGATTTGATATCATTAAAATTTTGAGATATTAATTCTCTTATTTCCCGAGTCATAGCACATGTTTTGCCTCTATTTGGGCTTATATTTTCCATATTAATATAAATTAACTAATAATAACTAATAAATACTAAAAACTATAATTAATAATAAATATAATTAACTAATAATAAATCACACTTATAATAAGTTTATTGCACTAATAAAATATCACATGTAGTTGTTGACAATATTTATGTCCTTTTAATATTACTTTTATTTAAACGCATGTGTTTTAGGGCGCGCATTTTAAAACTTGTCTTAAAAAATATGGCACAAATATTAAATATAAATATTTTATTTATTTTTTTGAATATTAATTGTACTTTACTTTATACATGTAATATAATAATAAAAAATATTATATTTACATATCTTTTTTTTTGAAAAAAATAATATAATATTAAACTATTTTTTATAATATCAAAAATGTCAAATAGAAATACAAAAATACAAAATTATTTAATTATAATAATATGTTTGATTGGATTTATTGCCCAGATCTACAAAATCAGTTATCTATACCTACTGTACGAGTCGACTACCAATGTTATCTATGAGCACAATGATTTTATTGAATTACCCGGTATAACCATTTGTATGTCTAAGGTTATGCTAGTTAAAACGTGGACAGTTAGTAGTAGATGCAATAGATCAGTAAATACATTGGACTGTTTCTTTGAGCAACTAGACTGGCTAAACAACCGGTCTATTGGGGAACAGTATGGCTTACTAATGGATCCAGGTGATTGGCTTAGATGTTCATTGGTTAATTGGCTGAATATGTCGGATGCTAACTATTTACGTCAAAATAATTGTCATAATGTAAGCATGGTACGCCAATTGCTTAGCGGTAAATCCACATGTATAACCTTGTTTGCACAATGGGATGATAATAGGGATGGACCGGTTTGGCAATATAAACAAAATACTAGAATCAGTAGGACGTCACGCGGTCTAAATACCAAATATTTAGTTATGATGAATATACCGCTACAGGTGCTCAGGGAACTGGATATGATTGTTATGTTACACTGGCGCCAGGAACGTATATACAATCAGTATCAAAAACGGAGTTCCATAGTTTGGAAAACTAGTGAATCGGAAACATGTCAATTGATTTATGGGGAAACAATTGTCGACAACACTAACAACAATAATCATATCCAGTGTCTGGACGGCCAAACACTTGACGATTGTCACTACGAGTGTAGAGTTAGCGTATCGTTTGGTTCAACGGGTCGACTGCCGTATGATTTGTTAAGCTATGCTGTCGACAACAACAACACAGCCAATACTCAGCTATACTATCTGAACCGTACGTATTCACGTAAATTGGACACTAGTTTAATGGACAAGTGTCAGCGTCAGTGTCGACATCATATTGAGCGCCGTCAGTGTCGCCAACATATCTATTCAGTACAACATTCAACCGCTATTGTAACAAATGATACTAATAATAGTAGTCATTATCATTATCTATCATTACGTGTACCCCAAGAGCCCACTACAGTCTATGAGATTACTGCGAAAATGTCGATCGATGAATACCTGTGCCTATTGGCCAGTATATTGGGCCTATGGTTTGGGTTTTCATTGATATCGTTGACTAATATTTGTCGCAAATTGATCGACAAGTTTGCTATTAATAATAGATTTTTATTTAATCTAAAATTAAATGTTAAAAATAAGCTAAAACAACAAACAGCAAATGTTAGGCCTATCTATAATGTTAAACTAGTTTATAAAAATTATAATAATCATAATAATAATACTGTTATATCTTAAAGTATATTTAATATATTATACATATCATATAGTATTCATATTATTTGATTAAAATATATTTCATATAATTTTTTTATCATAATGTTTTGTTATCATTTATAATGATTGATATGTTTTAGATTATACATTATAATAAAAAAAAATAAAAATATTAATATATTTATTATAGTCTATTAAATACAATGTCAAAAATATTTACATTGTGAAATTTTACTTTTTTATTGTGAAATAATATATTTTTTTTACTAAATCATAATCAATTTTGTAATATATAACTTTTTTGCAATTATAAAATATGACAAGTAAATATAATATTTTTATTTTAACATAAATTAAATTATTTATAACAAAATAAATAAATAAATAGTTTTAATAAATTGTATTTTACTTTATACTTAAATACAATAGAAAATATTATATTCATTTATATATTTTTTATATATATACATATTGATATTTATTGCAAAATTATTTACATTGTTATATTTTATTTTATTTTTTTTGCTCAATTTTTAAATATATAATTTATGAAATCGTAGAAAAATATGATAATGAAAACATTTATACATGACATAATTTATTTCATTATAAATTTAATTATTTATAAACAAACATAAATAAATAGTATTTTACTATATATTTAGAAATACAATAGAAAATATTATATTTAATATTTTTATTAATTTTTTTTGAAAATTTTGAATTATATAACTATTTTTTTATAACATCAAAAATGTCTAATAATAATACTTTAAAAATACTAAATTATTTATTTATCATAATATGTTTGATTGGATTTATTGCCCAGACCTACAAAATCAGTTATCTATACCTATTGTACGAGTCGACTACCAATGTTATCTATGAGCACAATGATTATATTGAATTACCCGGTATAACCATTTGTATGTCTAAGGTTATGCTAATTAAATCGTGGACAGGTAGCAGATGCAATAGTTCAACTTATACTTTGGACTGCTACAATGAGAAACTTAACTGGCTAAACAACCGGTCTATTGGGGAACAGTATGGCTTACTAATGGATCCAGCTGATTGGCTTAATTGTTCACTGGCTAATCAGCTAAATGTGTCGGGTTCTAGATTTTATCATCAAGGTAATTGTCATAATGTGAGCCGGCTACGTTTGTCGATTAGTGGTATGGATGCTTGTCTAACCATGTTTGCACAATGGGGTGATAAATGGGATGGACCTGATTGGCAATATATGCAGAATACCCGTTACAATAAGTCATCGAATGGTATGAATAGCAAGTATTTGGCAGTTATGACCATACCGGTACATGTGCTACCTAAGCTGGACATGCTAGTTATGCTACACTGGCGCCGGGAGCGTATATACAATCAGTTTCAAAAACGCAGTTCAATCTTATGGAAAACACGTGAACCAGAAAGGTGTCAATTGACTTATCGGGAAACGATAGTTGTAAACAACAACAACATGAATGAGATCCAGTGTCTGGACAGCCAAACACGGGTTGAATGTCAATACGAGTGTAGAATTAGACGATCGTTAGATTTGACGGGTCGACTGCCGTATGATTTGTTTAGCTATGCTATCGACAACACCAACAACAGTCAGCTATACTATCTGAACCATAACTATTCCCGTCAATTGTATTCAAATGCTGTCGACCATCAGTGTCAGCGCCGGTGTCTCAATCATATTGAACACCGTCAGTGTCGCCAACATATCTATTCGGTACAACATTCAACCGCTATCGCACCGTACAATAATAATAGTACCTATTATTTGCTATTATTACGTGTACCCCAGGATCCCACTACAGTCTATGAGTTGAACCCGAAAATGTCGATCGACGAGTACCTGTGCCTATTGGCCAGTATTTTAAGCTTATGGTTCGGTACTTCTGTTTTATCGTTGACCCGATTTTCTAGTAAACTAATCCATAAGTTTGTCATTAATAATAATAATAATCTAAAATTCTATATTAAAAATAAGCTAGCACAAAAACAACAATCAAAAACACATATTACACCTATCTATCATGTTAAGCTAATTTACAATAATATTAAATAATAATAATAATAATAATAATAATAATAATAATATTAAATAATAATAATAATAATAATAATAATATTAAATAATAATAATAATATTAAATAATAATAATAATATTAAATAATAATAATAATATTAAATAATAATATTAATAGTAAATAATAATAATAATATTAAATACTAATAATAATATTAAATACTAATAATAATATTAAATACTAATAATAATATTAAATAATAATAATAATATTAAATACTAATAATGTCATAACTTAATAATATCAATAATACTGTATTATTTAATTAAAATTTAATTTACATAGAAAATTGTATTTTATATTTTTTAACTATTTTTTGTGATAACTTTTGTTAATTTAATTTTTTTTTTTGAATTTAATTTACAAATTTGTTAATATTGTTTATATAAATTGTTACATTATTGATTATATAATATTATTGATTTACTAGTATACAGTTATAGATTATTTTTCATACTAAAAGTTTAATTAAATTAATTTATTTTATTAATGTTTATTATGAGATTTTTTTTAACATTATAAACAAAAGTTAATTAAATTAAAAATTTATGTCAAACTTATTTACATTATTATATTTTATAAAATTTATAACTAAATCTTAATGATTAATTTTTAAAATCTATAATTTATGCAATTATAAATATGACAATATAAATATAGCATGTTTATTTCAAAAAAATAAATTTAATTATTTATAACAAACATAAATAAATAGTTTTTTTTTATAAATTCTATTTCATTGTATTTAATATTTTATTAATTTTTTATTGAAAATAAATTATATAACTATTGTTTTATAATAGCAAAACTAATGTCTAATAAT